TGACCACACATTACTGAAACTACAGTGCAATGGTTTCAGTAAAAATACAGATGGCAGTGGGGGGTGAGATGATCTAAGATCGAAATCCCCAACCCCTTTTGCCAAAAGGTGACATATTGTATGTTTATACAGCTTCAATGAGAGCAAACAAACGAAAAATGAACAACAAAGGACTGGAGAGATGTTCAGCAGTTAAAAGCACTTGCTGTTTCTGCAGGGGACTCAGATTCGGTTCCCAGCACCCATGCAGGGCAGCTCACAACTGCCTGTAAGTCCTGTTTCAGGAGACCTGACACCCTCTTCTGGCTACCTCAGACACCTGCATGCAAGTGGTACATATACAGACAAGGAGGCACACACACAAACACATAAATACAAATAAATTTTTAAAAATTTAACAAAAAAAATAAATGCACAAATACTATTTCCAAGAACTCTGCATCTTATTAATATCCACAAGGGAAATGTGAGCAAGATACTAGAAAATATTATTATATAAATATCCATTGTTAAATGTTAGGAACACAGTATCCTAATAAATTGTACAACTCTAGAAATTAGAAAGCCTGGTAAGTGGGAGATATCAGTTGAAGATACCAGCAAGGTCCCCATCATTAAAGTGTTTGGATGGAATCTGGGATTCTAAGTATCTCTGAGGGAAAGCTGGGCTGACCCAACCCCACGATTGTATTTCTATTCACACCCAAACAGCTTTCAAAGAGTTGCCCTGTATTAAGTGATGCTGGATGTGTTACTCATAATAATGACCTTATTTCATGAAGAAAACAAACTGTGATTAGCTATGCATCACTGAGCCCAGTTGGAACTCTAGATGTTTCTCAGAGACTCCTTACTTGTTTTTTTAGTAGTTAACCATATTAACATGGTATCTGTTCTGGCCAGGCCACTCTTGATGACTAGTAGAATTATCTAATGTCCACTTGAATGCAGGATTCACGATAGAAATGCTGGCTAGATGTAAACTCACCTGCAAGGAAAAAAGAGTCAGACACAGCAAAGCTCAACAGCATTTCAGTCATCAACTAGAGCAATGGTAAGTGCTTGCTCGTGTGCTTCTCACTAGATTTGCTTTCCATTTGGGGGGGAAATATGTGAATGCCCAAGGAGTACAGTGAGTGTTGAGCAAAATGTACAAGAACTGTTCCCAAAATATCGGTAAGATTTTAGAATGTAAGATAATATTGCTTGGATGTTCATACAGCATACTATAACACAAAAGGTGTTTCTTCTCTGCTTAGACCACAGCCTGGCTTATAAGCTGCAGGAACACTATTTAGGGTAGAGGGTTTCAGCTTGTCATATCCGCATATGGTAGCACTGGGTTGTGAGAGAAATTGCCCAGGAATTGCCAGGCTGTGTCCAATGACAAAGGACTTGCATCTATTTTTGCATGCTGTGAGGCCTCAGAAGCTGAAAAAAAAATGAGGGTTTGTTCATTAGAGTGCTGAGATACATCTTGGTAATTTCCCCACAACAAAGGTAGAGAATTTGACTTGTATTGAATCTCTTTAGGAGTAAGAGCTGCTAGTCAGTTCTGCAGAGTAGCCAGTTCATTATTCTAAGCAAGACCCAAGACCCGTGGTGGTTTTAAAAGATGCCTAAAAATTCTTTGGCACATCTTCCATCAAAAGGTGGGATCCAAAACTGGGCATGGTGAGCAGCAGAGGCAGGCAGATCTCTGTGAGTTAAAGGTCAGCTTGGTTTACATAGTGAGTTCCTGGCTAGCCAGGGCTACATAGAGAAACCCTGTATCAAAAAAAGAAAAACCAAACAAACCACAAGTGATGATGTATGACTTTAGAAGCTAGAGCATAAATATGACACAACTTTCACCTCACTTACTCCAACAGTAGGCATTTGAAACTCTTAGAGGCCTTGTAAGAACTCTACCCTGAGGCAGCCAGGCTAGGAGGAGGTTCAGGCCATATGAAGAGAGCATTTTTGGGTGCTCTGGATGAATGCTTAAGCTGAGGTCCCAGTTTCAACCAACAGCTATGTCAGTAAATATCCCTCTAGAGTATTCCAGCCCTCAACCATGAAGACAGGCCCAGACACTGAGTCTTCTCAGCTTAATCTCCAGACATGATAGAGCAGAGAGATAAACTACCTGTTTTTCCTTGTCTGAATTTTGGGGCTAATTTCATACTTTGCAAAAGGCAAAACTATAGGCCGGGCATAACGGCACACACCTTCAATCCCAGGACTCAGGCAGAGCTCTGTGAGATCTAGGCCAGCCTGGTCTACATAGTAAGTTCCAGGCCAGCTGGGTCTATAGGGAGACCTTGTCACAAAAGACCACAGAAAAAGGCAAAACTATAATATTTGATCCCCACAGTGATACATTTTGGTAAATTAGATTGGTAACATTATCACTCCCATTTTATAGATTAAAAACAAGACAAAGCCAGGAGTGGTAGGGCATGTCTGTAATCCTAGCACTTGGGAGGCTGAGGCTGAAGGATGGTCAGCTGGATGCCAGCCCAGGTTATAAAGTGAGATTTTAAAAATAAAGAAAACAGGCCGGGCATGGTGGCACATGCCTTTAATCCCAGCACTCGGAAGGCAGAAGCAGGTGGATCTCTGTGAGTTCAAGGCCAGCCTGATCTACATAGTGAGTTCCAGGATAGCTGGGGCTACAAGGAGACCCTGTCTCAAAAAGACAAAAAAGAAAAAAAGACAATACAAATAAATCATACCAAACCAGCCCAATGGAAAGCAATTTAAGCTTATCCATTATGAGATTATATAGTCAAAAGTTGACAAGCTAGCACTAAAATCCTGTACTTTGTCTTATGCTTTCTTTGTTGTTTCTCTACTGAATATTGTGGGACTTTCAAATGGCCCAAGGAAGCAGGATACATCTAGAATTTGAAGACAAGACAAAAAAATGTTGCATAAATGGAAGCTAACAAGAATCCATATTAGGGGACTGGAGAGTTGGGTCAGCAGTTAATAGCACTGGCTGACCTTGCAGAGGGTCTGGATTTGGTTCCCAGCACCCATATGGTGGCTAACAACCATCTGTAACTCCAGTTCCAGGGTATCTGACGCCCTCTTCTGACCTCTACAGGAATTGCATGCACAGGTGCACTTATATGCATGTAGGCAAAACATTCATATACATAAAAACTAAATAAAGCATTGAAGAATTCATATTAAATGGATGAGATCAGTTATCCTCTGAGGAAATAATCTGTAAGATATGATTACCCTTCAGATTGATGCTGATAAAGCTACTGTTTAAGATGGAACCATTGAAAATGTCTTTGAGGTTTTAAGTGTTACAATAATATACTTTTAGGGAATAGTTGTTAAAAGGTAAAATAGGACAGTTAGAGACTAAAAATGATAAAGACCCAGTTGTGTTTCTGAGAAAGTCAAGGTGGAAGGGCTCCTTGCCTGGCAAATGGTCCTATTTCAGTATTAGACCTAAGTTCTAATGGTTAAAAAAAAAAAGGGTGGGGGTGGTTTAGACACTGATAGCTTGATAATGTCCCTACAGTAATCTTCTTTTACTCTTATATTTGTCCAACCATCTTCTGACTTAAATTTAGTTCTCAAAGAAACATTCCTTATTGGCAGAAAATATACAATGGCATTGGTAAACATAGAATGGTTATTTGATTGGTATTTTTTTCACTGCAAGAACTTGGATTTCTGATTCAACAAGCAACCACATACAGACCTCTTACCTTAACACAGAAGCATCAGCTCTCAGGCTTATGGAGACCAGATCCAAAAGGCAGACGCCCTGTCTCAGAAGCCAGAAAATAGTTGTCTATTTCTCAAATCATCCTAAATTCAATGAAGAGGTCTGTGACCATCCCCCACTCCCATTAAGAGGGAGAAAGCAAGTCAACTCAGCCTTTCATGACATCATGCTTCACTCCTTTGGCAATGAACAGCACCCTTTGGGTTCTATTTTTCACTCCTATTCCTCCTTTCCTTAACACCCACCCCTTATTCCTTTCTTTTGCTTAAATGTAATTTTAACAATAAGTTGGGTTTCATTTCATGTTGTAATTGGGCTTCTCAAAGATAATGTACCTCTCTTGTCCCAATTGTTTTCTGATGTACTTTGCACAGAAAACGCCTTGGGCTAAAGGAACAGAGTCTACAAATGATTTTGAATGATTTTCTCAAAGTAAAAACGATTCGTTTTGATGGATGCTTCGGATGTCTAGAAGGCTATGTGCTTTGCTCGGGCCCTAGTGCATGGAGTGAGCCAAAAGATATTTATTAAATGAATGAAGCCCGGCAACGAATACACGGAAAAAGAGGTTTTAGATTTCCATTTAGACTCACTTTAACAGACCAAGTCCTTTAAGGACAGGACACAAAACAAATCCCACACTGAAAATTACGCTGTTCCAAGATACATTTCTATGAAATTTGGCTTGTCTGGTCCAACCTTGGGGTTTTAAGTTCTCGTTCTTCATGACACCCGTTCTTTACAATGGCAGTAACAAATAATCCGGGCTTCCCCGCTTCCCTCCCTCTAGGACTCCAACTTCTCCAAGAACACCACCCCTACCCTTCTAGTAAATCCCACATTACAGAACAGGCTGAGGGGAAAGTAGGAAACTGCAGCCATGGAAACCGAGGGGGGGTGGGAGGTGGGGGAACGCGTGAGCTCCAGGGTGCTTGGAGGGGAAGGAACACTCTTTGGGCGACGGCAGCGGGAGGACGCTCGCCGGGTGACGTCACGCACCCGGGTGACGTCACGCCCGTGACACGCAGGTGACGCCGTTGCCGCGGCGACTGCTCGTCGTCTCCGCCCCCTCCCTCCAGCCCCGCGTCCTTCTCCCCTCCCTCCCTCCCTCCCTTCCCCCCGGTCCCCTCAGGCTTGGCTGCGCCGGGGGCCGCGGGCGGTTCCTGAGGTGGCCGCGGGCCCTGCCT